GGTTCTTGAAGGTTACAGAAGACTAATGAACTAGTGTGTGAAATGTGTTTGAGTTGCATGTATGCAAAAGGCTCTTCGGAGACAGGAAATATGAGAATGCAAGAAATCTTCATGTCTGGAGATCCCCTGTCTTCTGAAGAACAGAGTATTACATAAACTAGATGCAAATGTGTATGTGAAAATTCACTCTGTCAACACAGCCAAGAAGGTAGGTTGAAGAGTGTTTGTTATTTCCATCATAACAGATCAAAATCTCAGCTTCTGATGAAAGATTTCCCAAGAAATTCCATCACAAAACCAGGACTATTAGGTAAGGCCTTCATATTAGGCCAAATTTCAATGTCAAATTCAGCTCTTAGTCAATCTTTCTTGCACAAAAGCACTAGTCCTTGCCCCTTCCAGCACCCCAGAGGCATCCCTGTGGGATTTCTTTGCTATCCTAACTGACAAATAATTAAAAATTTAAAATCACAAAGCACATTCTTTTAGGGACACCTGAGCCATCAAAGTATATTCAACAAATAATGTTAGCAATTGTGACCATATAATGGATTTTCATAACTTGAGAGTTCAAGTCAGTAACATGCGAACATTTATCTGCTTCTTCATGCAAGGCCTTTATCTTAAAAAGTATACAGAAGTCTTATTTCTGCCTGTGTCATCTTTTGCACTTAAACAATTATACATTAGAAAATTAATTTTTCATGAACCCCAAAAAATAACGAAATGAGACACATAAGTTAGCCAAGTATTGTTTCTGATGTCTTCTCACAAATACCTGTTGGCCAATAATCTCCCATTTGTTGGTTCAAAGTCAGTATCATTTCATGTCATGGAACTTTACTTGATGGCATTACCTTCTTTAGTTCACTGAATCTTAAATATTTTCTAGAATAATCAAGTGTCAAATTTGTCTTAGTAAAAAACCCAAATGACTAAGCTATTGTCCATACAGGCTATGACAATTGGTGGACAAAGGCAATTCATGACCTTTTGGGATACAAAGGAAACCCTTTTCCTTCAAAGAGCTTACATTCCAGTAGCAAGTTTCCCAAAGAATATTAGGAATCACTTGAGGTAGAAAGTATAATTCTAAAAGTTATCCCTAGACACTGCCTCAGACTTACTGAGTTAGGGATTCCTACTTACTGAGTTCTTATTGAGTTCCAGAAATGGAACTCTAGGAAATAAATTTAAAATATAAATATAAAGCATCTCAGGTAGTTCTACAGATAATAATGTTTAAGGACCATGGCACTGGTGGTCTGAGAGACACGCACAAAATATGTCAGAAAAAATATCAGTTGGGGGATTGTCTGTTAGAGACATAAAAAAAGAAAAGAAAAATTGAGACGTTTTCTTCCTAAATACTACACTTGATAAGTGAGAGCTGGGAATCTTCTTTATGCCATGAATCCCTACTCTATAGAAGTAGAGGACAACTTTGTAGTTATTCCTTTCATGGAGTAAGATATCCAAAGTACCTTTAAAATTAAAAATATGAAGCATAATATCTGGGTAGTATGATAAACATTTGACTAAGGGTAGGGTGAGAACTGTTTTCTAATTTTAAAAAAACCCAGAAAAATATAACTCTGAGAATCACATAAAATAAAACCAAAGGGAATATATCCATTGTCTAGGAATCCTAGGTCTTAATATTAGAATTGTAATTTCTTCGTTCCCATAGGAATTAATTATGGGCCAATTTAATATGGCTATAATTTTTTATTACTTATAATTTACAGAACATTGAGATTTTTCTCATCCTTTCTTCCTTTGGGGGAATCAAGTATGACTAGGTTTGAGATTTCGGCTTCCTGATCTGAATATACTGTACATGTGTATATAGCATCCTACTTTCAACAGTTCACAAAATTGCAAAGATTTGTTGACTTATTATTGAGTTTGCTGACCATAAACAATTTATTCAAGCCCCCAAGTGAGGTTTCAGCTTGTTCATCTGTAAAATGGGTACTAGGCTGTATCTTATTAAACCAAAATGCCTAAGGCCTTGTAAGAACTCTGAAACAAAAGGGTTTATTGAGCCATTACAGATGCTAGACAGGAAAATAAATGACTAGGTGCTGGGATAAATTCCCCAACAACCACTGCCAGGGTAGATGGCTAATTCCCTAGCTCTAAAGAGCTGGAGTATTATACAGTGCAAGCATTGCTACATACATATTACTTACACTGAATCTACTGGTAACGCGGGTGGGATTACCTGAAGCAGCAAAGGCTTTGTGATGGGAGAACACCTAGGAAAGCAGCCAGGGCCTCTGGATTGGTTAGGGCTGCAAGAAGGACACACTGGCCCCTAGGCAGTCAAAGCAGGCTTGAGTGAAGCTTTTAAAGTACATTCAAGAACATAAAAACAGTCTTGTGTTCTTGGGAGCCTATAGCTTGCTACTGGTTAACCTCCCCTACCGTCTCCCTTTTCTTACATCCCTGGCCCTTTGTAATTAAATGTAGGACATCTCAGAATGTTTCTCTTATCAATCTGTCTTCCTGGCCTAGGCTCTTGCCACTCATCCATGTCGCTTCCCACACGAGTCCTAACTGAGGTTTATGTGGGAGGATCACATGGGATAATTTTTGTAAAAGTGCTCCGTAAGCTGTAAAGCACTATACAGATGAAGTGGATTATTATTAGTCTTTTATGAAACTCAGCCATAAAGACAAAAAGTGACCCAGAAAAAAAAAGAAAGAAAGAAAAGAAAAGGAAAGGAAAAGGAAAAGAAAACAGGGTAGGCAAATCTGAAATACATCTGCAGTGTTGGAACATAGACTTACATTCACAGTTGGTGGATTCTTAATCATTACTAAGGGAGTGAAGAAAAACTCAAAGCACAGGTTTGTGCCTCTGCCATATAGGGACTGATAGCAAATAGAAAGACCTGCACCTAGAGTCCAGGATGGCTTTATACACAACCAGAAGGTCCCCAAGAGCATACAGTCTTCACTTGAAAGTCACTGGATATGAAAGAACACTAAATCCATTCAACAGAGCAATGCCATGCCCCACCCCAAGCACACAATGAAATGGTTATTTATTTACCGTCTGTCCTTCCAATGCAGTCTTGTAGGAATGGCAGAACCTTAATGAGACTGAAACTTACCTCTGCATCTGGTTCATGGTAGATCTGCACAACTGCCCCGGTAAGCTCTGTCGGATTTGGGGCACCTGAGATCTCTGTTCTGGATCTGGAAGGACATTTTAGTGATACTTGATATGAAGTCAAATCAGATTTACCCTGTAATATTAACCCCACCCAACATAAATAGGAAAGGAGTTGGAGGGGAGATTATTTGCCATATGAAACAACTTTTTGTCAGTTTCCTAGGATAGATAGGATATGACTCAAATTTAAATATTTCAATTGCATTGCATATAACTTTTGACAGCCATCTGTAGAATAAGGTTAACTCACACTGGGAAACACCAGACTTAAAAAAATGCAGGAGAAAAATGTTTTTTCTGGGCGGGCCTTAATTGCCTTTTGTTCCCTCATTGCAAATGTATTTTTATTCTGGGTGACATTTTCAAAATAGGATTTTCTCCCCATTGTTGAAGCAAACAAGTTTACTTTCAGAGCCACAGAGATGCCCAACTGTTAGGGGTGAAAACATGTTTTCCACTGGCCACTTGCCTGTCTTTTCCTTCGGCAGGCTTGCCTGTTGGCTCCTCACTCTAGGAAGGCCCCTGGGGCTGTCTGGTGGAACTGGTTGTAAAACTGTTTTGTGCAGTGCGAATGAATGTCTTCAAACTCTCAGAGACCACCCAGAACATGACCGATCTTTGGCAACTGTCTACTGGTTTCCCCAGTGTTGGATCAGCTAAATAACTGACCCTGGTTTCTGACTCCTTATTTGAGAAGACATGGTCATGGCTGTATTTATTCTTGTAGTTTGCTACTTTAAGACGAAAAGAGGAAGAAACCTCTCATCCTCATCAAACACCCATGAAGAATTCACTGTACCGGTTTATGTTCTTTCTGGGAATACAAGAATTCAAGAACCAAGCCAGACCGGCCATCACAGAGAAAATTTTAAGGAAATAAGCATTTGCTAGAGGCTTTCACGACTACTGTCCCTGGGCCTTTGGCATCAAGCCATCCCTAGGATGGTAACCATCTCTAGCCTCCTCAGCGGTGGTGGGTATCTCGCGGTAAGGTTCCCGTTGACCCGGGGAGGCAAAAACTCCTGCGGAATAGGCCGTGCCTGCTGCGTTCCTCTCCACGAACCCAGCCTCTATACATTAGATACTCAATAAACGCGGAGCCGGGAAGCAAAAGACCGGAGTCTGTCCCTGGGCCCCAGCGCTGTGTTATGGCGTGCGCGGGTTTATTCGGACCCGCTGCTTCCTCACATCTGCTGAGGCACCAGAGCTCGGCTAGGGGCTGTGTCTCCAGCCACACGAGAACAATCGGAAAGGCGAGCTGCAAGAGACACGACGCCAGAGCCCGAGAGGCAGGAGGCAGGAGGCACGGGCCACGGGCCGGGGGCCACCTGACCGCCGCGCGCTCTGGTTGACAGGAGGCGGGCCAGGCGCGCGAGACCGGCCCGGGTGGGGCGGGGTGGGGCGCAGGCGCGCGCCCGGCCCCAGGCCCCGCCCTCCTCGGCCGAGCACGCACCCCGAGCCGCGGGGGAGGGGGGCCTGAGAGCGGGCCGCGCCTCGCGCGCGCGCGCGGCCGCCGGCTGACGCGGCCCGCGGGCATGCGCTCCGCCCCCGCCCGCGCCGTCCCCCGGGCCCGGCGCGCGGCCCTGCTGACGTCAGCGGGCGGCTGGCGGAGCGCTGCGCAGGACCTGGCGCACTCCCGCGCTCCGCTCGCCTCGCCCCCTCCCCGCCCGCCCCGGCGCACGCGCGTGCCCTGCCCTCCCCGCCCGCCTCTTCTCGCGCTCCCCGCTAGCCGCGGCTCCCTCGCGCTCTCCCCGTCTCCTCTCCGCTCCGCCGAGCGATGCGAGCTCTGGGCCCCGGCGTCGCCGCCTCCCGCTAGAGATCTGCACCCCCCGGCCCGACCCCTTTCCCAGCCCTGCCCCGCACGCCGGGGTCGGAGAAGGCGTCGCGGACGCACCGACGGCCGAGGAGCGGCGATGCACATGCACTAGCGGCACCCCCTAACTCACTCCCTCCACACCCCGCGCCGCCGCCGCCTCCACCTTCTCCGCCTCCGCCTCCTCCTCCGCCTCCGGCAGCCTCGGCAGAAGGACCCACCCTGCCCCCCACCCCACCCTCCGCCGGCTCCGGCTGCGGATCCAGCCTCTACTGCTTTTTTATTTATTTTGGGTCGTGCACTAGCCTCAGTGCCTGCAGCCCGCGCCTCCCGGGCCCGCGGGCGCCTCCTCCCTCGGCTCCGGAGCCCCAGACCCCGGCCACCCTCACCTCGACACCCCCAGACCCGGGCCAGCCGCCGCTAGTCTTCGCTGCTGGAATCTTGATAGAGGCTGTTATTTTTTGGGGGTTTCTGGTCTTTCGACAATTTTGTTCCCAGCCAAGGAGAGGATATCGTGATTTTCTCCCCTTTGAGCCCAGGCTCTGCTCTGTGGGGGGGTGGGGGGCGCGCCGACCCGGGGAGTCGTGCCAGCCGAATCGTGCGGGCTGTGGCAGGGAAGGGGCCACCATGGGATGTACTCTGAGCGCAGAGGAGAGAGCCGCCCTCGAGCGGAGCAAGGCGATTGAGAAAAACCTCAAAGAAGATGGCATCAGCGCCGCCAAAGACGTGAAATTACTCCTGCTGGGTAAGGACCTCGGTAGCCACCCCCGCCCCTCGACCCCGGCCACAGTTCCCCACCCGACTAGGGCCACGGGAGACCTGGTCCCAGAGTTGGCACCACTATGTGCCCAGGAGCGCCCATCCCTCGCATGCTTTGAAGCCCCCTTCCTATTCCTCTGAGCTGACACTCACCAGTTTTTCCCCCTCTCTGTGTCCCAACAGGGGCTGGAGAATCAGGAAAAAGCACCATTGTGAAGCAGATGAAGTAAGTCCCTATGGCATTGGGATTTGTACTTTTATTAAGAATATTTTTTTACACCGATTTTATATTATCTTGCTCACCCAGATTGCTCTCCAGGCCTGGTTTTTAATGCGTGCTCACACAGAGACCTGGTTTTGCCTCCCCTCCCCCACCCCCTACGTTGGTTCTGGGTCCTCCACCCCAACTCCTGGGGTGGGTGTTTTGGGGGAGGGAAAGGGAGCGCCTGTAGTTGTATGAATGACAGTGTCCGCCATATTGATCAGAACATCACACTATTGGCGTGATTATGATCATAACTCTTGCTCGTGGAGTATTTCATGTGTTTCGCTGCCTCCATTTCTGTCTCTCTGCCTCATTCTATTTCTCCTCCTCCCTCCACCCCACCCCTCGAATCCCACTTCCCCCTGCTTCTCTTGGGGCAGTGATTTTGAACTTGACTAAAACATGGAGGGGACCCAGCCCTGCCAGATTGGTGTGGAGGATCAAGTGTTTGCTGTTCATGAGTTTGGTGCTGAATTCCTGGAGGCTGTGGCTTCGACCCCACCCCCATCCCACCCCCCAACGAGAGCAAGGGTTAGGGGAGGGGGCGTGCTCTAAGGGGAAAGGATGGGCTTCAAAGCGGATGTGACAGACACAGCTTTACCCAAGGCAGAGGTGGAAGGTAAACGCTGTTCGTAGGGCTGAATGAAAGCAAGCCTCATCCGCCCTTCAGCCCCTCTCCACCCTGGCCCTTCAGCCTTTGCTCTCCTGACACTAGCAGTTTCCTGTCAACTGTGTAGCCTTTATCCTTATATCTATTTACACTCTGCTTAGGCCGGGTTCCCTGTAATCTACCTCCAGTGCGGATTTCAGGCCCCACTTGCCACCGCCCCCTTCTGCCTTAGATATCAGTTTCCCCTCCTAATTAACTGGAGGTGGATTTGAGTGATGGTTAAAAATTAAAACAAAATGGGATATTCCTTTCTTTCCACGTTTCCCCAATAAGGAGTCTCACCCTTCCTTCCCCCTTACTGGCTTGCTTCTTGCCCCATCCACTCCACAGCTCCTAGTGAGCCTACAGGCAGCTTTGCCTGGGGAGGGGTGGCCGGCAGGGAATGGGTGCATGCCTTCCGGGCCTCCTGGCCCTGCTTCCGTTGGCCTGTCAGTTCAGAACAGAGGAGTTCGTTAGGATCGTTTAGCGAGGATTCCATGTCGCTTTGCTGTGACACCTTCGTGCACACACAGCTTCTAATTAGAGGTTGCTGTGCAGTAAACAAAAATGATTATTTTTCAACTTGACAGAATAGCCGAAGTAATTGCATCCCGTAGGAAAACAATGGAAAATAAAAACCCCTTTCGAAGGAAGGTGGGTGGGAGACAAATTGTGCTTGCGATTTCAAAACCAAGAAGCAAAATTCTTGCATGTGTAACAGGCATGACAAGCGAGTTCCAGGCGGCGCCATGATGGTAGGGAGTAGCGACTAGGAGACAGTTTCCCCCCATCTGCTTGGCATGTTCTTATTTGCGTTCGAGAGCTCCCGGGGGCTTTCTTCTCACAGGCCCCTTCGGCTAGCCTCACCCTTCTGAGCCACCAGTAATTTGGCCTGGGGTTTCTCTGGGGCTTGTGCAGTCCAAATGGATGGGGAGGCGGGGCCTAGGGAATTGCTCTTTGCAACAAGGTGCATGTTGCATCTGCCTGGAGCACTCGCGGGTCGGGAAATGCAAACCGCGCCACCTCTTTCCCCTTAGGGACAGGTTTCAAAACTTCACAAGTCTGTAATCCGCTGTGGCAGGCTGAGAGTCTGGTTGAAGCCTCGGTCTCCAGAGCTGGGGTGAGGTTTCAGGCCTTGCAAGTGGTGGACAGCGCCCAGCCGAGACTGGAAATGTCGGTGGGGTTGAGCTCGGCGGCGCTCGGCTCCTCTCGGCCTGGTCTGGGCGCGGGGCTCGGAGGATCTCGACAGTGTTCGGAGCCCAGTCGGGGTCCAGACGGAGAGGACCGAGTGGCTTCGGCTTCGGAGGGGCCCGAAGACATTCGGAAACCCTCGGAGAGGGGAGGGCAAACGAGGTGGAGGTAGGGGAGGTGAGATAGGATGCTAAGTATCTTTGCATCCACCAAAGCAGCTTGCTACCTGCTTTTCCTGAACATGCCCCATAAATTAGGTTGATTTAATAAGAAGTTTAAAAATATGTATCGAGTCTCCCAAAGGGTAACTTGCCTTTTTTATTCAAAGAAAGCTGAGTTCTCTGAGGAGATCTGTGTGCCACTTTAGAATGGAAATTCCTGATTAAGTCCTAGGACAGACTCTTAAAGGAAGGCTGTAAGAGACTTTCTGAGGAAAATCCTACACACTTTATATTGGATTGCACTGGGGGGGGGGGTGATGGGTGGTGAAGTGTCTTGATGTTTGATTCAATTAAATCAGAAATCAAAGTGTTTTCTCTTTTCCTGTATTTCTTCTTCCATTCCTCACTGCCACAAGCTGCCTGTCAAAACTGAGATTTTTGTGATTGATTTCTGTTTCCTTTTAAGAGCAAAACATACCATAGACAAGGTTTGCTGAGAAAGCCCACCAGAAAGGTGTCTGCCCATACAAAAGACCCAGCTGACCTGTCCTTCTGAAGCGTTCATGAATGGCAGTTTTTCCTATGAACTCGGCTTGAAATAAGTCAGCTCGGGGCCTTGTGCCAAGCTGGATTCAGAACTTGTTTTATTAACCACAAAGTGAGAGATTGGTGTCACTGTATCCCAGTGACAGATTCTTTGGAGTCCTCACTTGCAGAGATGGGTTTTGAGATCACCGCTTGAGTGAGAGTCATTTGTAGCCAGGAAGATTGTGTTTTCTGGGTGGGGCCAGGCCAGAAAGCCTTGGTAGCATTTGCAGAAGAACAATTTCCTGTTTCCCTGTGTAGTGTGATTGGTGACAAACCTATCAGGCCATATGTGTAAGTTAGTTCAGATGCTGTGTTATTCCACCTAGGCAGGTGAAAGTAGATGGTTACAGGGTTCACTGTAGGTGACACCGTGTGAGAAGCCAGTGATTTCTAGTAGGGATTGAGGCCTGGTAATTTAGTTCTTTGGCTTTGGAGGAAGAGTATTGATATTCAGATGTTATCAGGCCCTTTATCATCAGCATTTTCAGAAAAGCTAGGAGTCCGTTCCCTCTGCTTATGTTCTCATCCAGGTTGCTCTGTACTGATTGGGAGGGGGGGACAGGAATATGTGCCCATGGTAGCTGAGATACTGCCATTAAGGACTGGCAGCAGATGTAGCTTAGAACAGAGTGTTATTACCCTCATGAGCCTAGGAGCATTACAGAGTCTGACCTATGGAATTTTTCTGCTCAGTACAAGTCATAAGGGGAAAACTTACATCCTTTTCAGAAGCCTAATTCTCAAGTTTTTAAAATCGTTATAGTTTTGTTTTGTGTGTGTGTGTGTGTGTGTGTGTGTGTGTGTGTGTGTGTGTGTGTGCATGTGTAGAAGTGGAGTCCACTGTTTCCTTCTACCTTCTACCTTCATATGGGTTCAGAGATCAAACTCAAGTCGCCATCCTACATGACAAGTGCCTTTATCCATTGAGCTATCTTGCCATCACTCCCCTCACCTCCACTTACTTTTTTTTGGTGTGTGAGTTAGTGTTTGGAAGGTCTCTGTCGTGCATTACAAAACATTACAGTTCTGAGAAGTCAACAGTGATGCTGGAGATAGTGCAAATATAGTTTCACATATCCTGGGAGTAGCTAGTGCCTCCTTTTGCTGTGTGGCATTTTAAATAGCTTTGCTTGTTTTAGGGGTAAGCTTACCTGTGATATAACCTCATCATTTTCCTAGTAATCAGTCATGCTTTTACATAGACTAATAAAATTTTTAAAGAGTATGAATTTTATTGGATTTCTGAATCCTTATAAAAAACTATCTTAGAATTATAGTTTATAAAGCATAGAATATCATTTTAACTGACTTCCCAGTTTGAACATTGAGTGACAAATGCATGGACCTGATAGTGTAAAATGACCCATGGAGTTCTTCTGAACGTTACAGATTGCTGGATTTCTTAGTTCACACTCTCTGGTGGGTCAGAGTTTTCTTTTGTTTTGTGTTTTAGGAAGTAGAGTTTGCAGAAAGACCTGGCTTGCTAGCTAGTAGATATCACCTGTATAGACAAAGTAACATGGAACATTTCAGGTATACATTCATTTCTGGGATACCTGTTCAGTGAAGTTTTTAAACAAGTTTAGGGATTTTCCTATTGAACCTATCACTGCTCATACAAATATCCCAACCCTTACAAGTGAGGTCTTAATATACCACTCTATTAGGGAAGGTAGTGGTTTTGAAAGATTGTCTGCTGCCAAAATTATGGTGGTTTCCTCCTCCCAGCTGACCTTGAGTTTATAACTGGGTGTCAAGACCATTGGTTGGCAGCTGCAAGCCTGTGTGCTCTCAGCATCTAGTAAGTGACAGGCATTAACAGAGGGGGAGGGGGCCACTTGCAGCCATTACTTTGTGAAAGTACAGACATCTAAACAGGCTACCCTTACTCTCATGTAGGAAGCAGTCCACTGAGAGCTATTCTTCAAGATGTTTGGCTTGTTGTTTCTGCAGTCACTTCCTTGGCTGTTTTTGCATCCCTCCTCACTTGTGCCTCCATGTCTGTCAAGTAGATGCACCTTGCTCTCTGGAGACAGTGTGAGTGCAAACAGAATGTCAGGTTAAGTAGCAGCAGGTGAGCTCTCTGCTGTTGCTGGATGGTGCTCTCTCCCTTCTTGCTGTTCACTGAGCTGTAAACACCAGCAGACCTTTCCTGCCAGGAGTGTAGCCAGTAGTTCACCTGATCTCATCAAGAATTAGCTGTGCGATTCTTGAACCTCAGTGGATTCCGAAACAGAGCCTGTGTGCTTGTGGAAAGGGCTGTCGCTATTAGAATAAGTAGGTGAAGCCTTATGCAGATTGACATGGCTGAACAGGAATCCAGAATTTCTTTTCTGTGCATGGGAAGCTGGATGAGTGCCCAGGTGCTGGCT